GCGTTCATGCGATCGTGGATCTAGTTTGACAGCGATTTCAACGACGTGTGCCTTTCGAAATAAATATTTGAGGGGGGGGGGGGGGGAAGTCATATGAACTTTTTTTATATCCTAAACCATTAGTTGAAACCCAAATTACTCTCTCATTTTCAAAACTTTCTTTAAACATTCTCATCACAAATTTTAATTAAACCTTTAAAATTCCCCCACTCAAAGCTGCCATTTAAAATTTCTTCTTAAATTTCGGAAACAATTTTCGGCAACAAAACAAAATTGTTTCATTGAGCGTAAAAATCTGTAAACATAGCAGAAGAAAAGTTTAGCAAACTCTCCATGGCATTTATTCTAAAGAATTGAATTTAAAATTCATAATTAAAAATTCATTTAAATTATTTTTAACAAATTTATGAAAAAAAAAAACAAATTTCATCAACTTTTAGACTGTTGAAAAAAGAATTTAAAATGTTGTTTAAAGAGTTTGAATAGACTCAACTTGTGAGATTAAAATTTAAAATAATTTGAATTAATTGTCAGATTTTTTTGCAATGCCAAAACGTTGGTTTTTAATGGCATATAAATTTAATTAAGTGAAAAATTCTCAAAACATTCAATTTAAATCATCAATTCGCATTTTTCATCAAAATTCAATTTCACATAAAACCTTAGGCAGTAAGTTTTATGTCTTTTATATCGCACATGAATGCCTTGAAACAATTCAATTCAATTAATTGATATCCATACAGCACTTCGAAGAAAATTAATTAGTCGATTTATTTTCGGTCGTAAAAATCTTCAACTTGATGGACAAAAAAAAACAGTTTTTTTCCTTTCGATTTTATTATCAAATAGTCATCATCATTATCGGACGTACACATAGAAAAATAGATTATTAATTATACAATTTCTTTTTCGCTATCATTTGTGTATGTGAGTGAGTTTGATAAAAAAGACAACTCGTAAATATTTTTCATCGTTATTTCATTTGAGACAAAACTTGATAGAGTAAGAGAAGATTATAATATTGAGCTATAGAAATTGAAAATTACATCATCAAACTACACAAAAATGAGACTGACCCGATCGACACACATTGAAATTTATTGAATTGTTTGCCATCAGGTAGCCGGGTTGATAGTTTAATTAGCAATTGCTTCCAAGCTGCTGCCGCATTGGGTGGCAAACATTCCAATGTGTGCTGATCAGGTGATGAATTTATAGGAAATTACTTGACTGACTTATCGGAAGTAAGCTTGCTATTCGTATGATCTAGAACCCTGATCCATCTTAATTTCATCCTTCATTCCTCAACTCTTCAAGATATGTTTACAATATTCCCACTATTCAGCACAATAACTGTCCAGTTTCACTAACTTCTGATAAGTTCATTCTTCATCCTTTCTTGTGTATTTCATTTCCAATTCATCCTTATCGATATTAATTCCATTTGAATAAAAGAAACCGTGACTATGACAACAATATTTCATTTTATAAAGTTTAGTTTTATGAGCGCGATGAAACGTAAAATAAAATTGTTGCTATCCATTCAACTGTTTAACATTCATTAGACTTATTTCAATTTCTTTAACGTTATTTTCTTTGTAGTCGATTTGGATGACTCAGGCTGTGGAAGTGATGAGTGTGGATTATTTTTTGGAGATGATTTTGGACTAAGGTGGGTGTTCTATAAGCTGGAGGGTCGGTTTCTAGTGCTACCTTATAGATTGCACCATATTAAAAGGCAACATTTCTTGTTGCACGAATTGAGAACCCGTTTTAACGTTTTAAGTATATAACGTAATAAGTAAGACCCCCCCCCCCCCCAAAAAAACATTTTTTGGGGGGGGGGGGGGGTCATGATTTTGTGAAAGGTCATACAAAAGAAATTTTTTTCCAAATAAATTTTGTGACAGAAGAGAGAAGGGGTTTCTGAAAACCTTGTTTTTTGTTGGAAGTCATAAATGAATGACCCTTAATAAGGGAACGCATATAATCTCAGTATAATACGACACCTAAACTTGATTATGCATCAGTTGAGTGTTTCTCCTTCTTTTGAGATCGCGGATCAGTAAAATATTGACACTGCTAGGACAGTAATGCACGGAGCAGGATTCCTTTGCGGAGGACATATTGAGAAACGCTGTCCTGGTGTATGTACCTGCACCTACCCTAGAAAATGCTCTGATATAAAGACTAAGGGAAGTTGTAGGTGCATTCTGAAAAATCGTTCCTTAGATAGAAGCTTGACCCTCAAGTAAGTTAGCATGTACAACCTCATTCTCATCCTCTCCTACTACAAAGATCAATGTTATCCGAAAACTTCCACAACCCGAACCTTGACGTCACTCTTTTGCTCCATTATCTCATTTTTACGATTCTATTTAGAAAACAATTTTATATTTCTTACTTAAACAACTTTTTTTTCTGTTCTCCATTGTGTTCTTAAATTACAACAACATAAAATGAGTAAAATGTGAACCTAAAAACGTCATTTTTTTCATTTCCATTTTCTTTTATTTTTATTCAACAAGAAACGTGATGTAAACAGCGTAGAAATCCCTACGAGATACTTATCTATTTTTTTTTTTTGTTTTTATATATATCTCTTCATTTTTATGTGTATATATATATATATCTATAGTATATCTGTCTTTACATAGATAAGAGATAGAGATAGAGAGAGATTAAAGGAAAAGATTCAATTTGATTTCAAAAAAGCGTTTCATCTAATTGATAAGCATTCATTTGATGACAGACTATTTAACAATTTACTTAATAGTGAGAATAAAAATCCCATTAATAGCACTAAACTTTCCGTGGTGTATATTTGATATTTAATTAAACTTACAGCACATCCATGATAGAAAAGTTCAGCAAAACTTTCTGCTCCGTCGTCATTAACGTTCAGTTTTTGTATTGTCGATGTGATGTGAACAGCATACAATGTTGATGGGGTTGTTGTAAGGTTGTTAAGTTTTTGTAGCGAATAAGTGCATGTAATCAGAAAGAAAGAACAATGAAAGTGAGAAAATTGTAGGAAGGAGCTGAAAAATATAATTATTTTAAATACAATGTCATTAATGGGGGTTATTCGTAAATGATGTTTTGGAGAAATTGTGATTTTTCACACACTAAGCCTGTGTTTCTCAATCTTTATAGGTTTATGGCTTATTTTTTTACATAAATTTGTTCGCGGAACTTTAAATTATTGTCATGACCGTTTTGAAGTCATTAAACAAGAAAATGTGGGGCCAATTTTAGCAATCGATTGTTTTTGCGCCACAATAGAGTGCAGTGGCACATAGTTTGAGTACCACTGTCCTAAACCCATGATGTCTCTTCGAGTCTTCGAGAGGCTAAGTATGTCCTAAATATGACCAAATAATAGTTTCAATGTTTTAACTTAGTCTAGGTTTTAAGTTGACCTAGATCATATCTGAGTTATACCTAAGTCAACCCTAGCACATATTGGTCATTTTTCAGAACTGAGTTTCAAATTAATTCAGCAAAATTCCTCATGTTGTTTGAAACATTGAGTCCAACACATCCAAATGTCCCTACATTCACCATTTCTCACCAGACACAACATCCAAAATGACAACAAACAAGCCAACAGTGTGGGATTATTCATAAATTTTTTGGATAAGTTAATCTTGTATACGAGACATTCGAGGCTTGTTCTACATGAATTTTGAATATTGATGAGATTTTGTTTCTGTTCTTTTTAGATTTCAATGGCTATGAAAATGAATTATTGATTTTTTTTCGGAAGTTTGGAATTTTGGGAGTGGATCAAGAATTAATTTGGGGACTTTAATTTGACTTTTATTTTTCAACAAAAAAGAAAAGTTTTAAAGAAATTGAAATTGTTGTGAATTTAACAGCTTGTGTGGATGTTTTGAAGGACAACAGATGGTGGAAGTTGAATTTATTGGGAATTAGAGACAGTATTGTACTTGGTAATTGTTAAGCGGAAGCCAGCGATTGAGCTAGCTTCAAATGCCATCCGTAGGAGAGCATGAAACATTATTGATCTGGTTGTATATTAAGTGAGAGATAAAAGAAAAATAGAAAGATCCAATTTCTTAATAGACCTTTGAATTTGTATTCCAGAGATTTAGAAGAGAATCAAGATTCCCAAATAGAACAAGTCTGTTAATCGATCAGAAATCCGGTATCAAACTGGTTTGACTCATGCTGACATGGTGCTGGATTGAAATCGGAGCTAGCACCATACCAGAGTCATACTAGCTTGACGCCAGACTTCTATTCGATTAACCGACTTGGACTATTTAGATATGGATCAAACCGAATGGCCTTTGATTCAACAATCCCAAAGAAACATCTTGGAAGCTTCCATTCCTCCCCGTATAGTTAATATAGCATAGCGAAAACAAAGAACCCCCTCAATCTTTGCTGAGAGTTCATAATCTTACAACTTCCTTAATTAAAAGTACACAGTAGGACATTCTGACAACATACTTTAAGAAAACTTCCTGCTAACAACACTTACAGTATCAAAACTTAAGGTTAAACATCCACTCATAATGTGCAAATATTTTATCATTTTCATGCCATTCATGTGAAAAATCGCATCCCCCCATTCAGAACAATTTAGTTCCTCAACTCCACGAGTGCAAAATGTTCATTCGGTAGTTGTAAGTAGATATTATTATAGCACAAGAGCTTATGAAGTTTTTTTCCTAACGGAAACGACACTTATATGAGTTCTCATTTAAGTGCTCTTTTATGGTCGTAATGGATACTTCTAAGAAAAAAAAAGCGTTTCCTTAATTAAAAATATTAAGTTTACGTATGTATTGTATTGTATATTAAACCCCTGCACCACTGTATGTGCTGGAATGAGTGTCTTTTATAGCTAAGCGATAAAAAGGAGAAACTTTAAGCACGAGAAGAACTGAAGAGAAAATTTTGTGGATGTAGATAATGATAATTATTTAGCACCAGTTTTCTTATTATCGTTGATGATGTAAGAACTTATTTCACACTGTGCATTTCTTCTCGGTACTATTCATTAGTTTAAGATATGAATGTAATGTTGGAGCTTCTGTAGTAATAATCTTAAGCTTGGAATGTATGAGGGTTGATCGCAAATGATGTCGATAACAGATGGATGGACTATTTTGCTTTTATATGAAGAACCAGTCAAAAGAGCAATACTGATAACTTTAGGGCTGACTATAAGTTCATATGGTCATAGCACAGGTATAAGATAGAAAAGTAAAGGAGGTTTGAGTGTCAACCAATCTTCTTTGACAAAAAATCCTCTATTGTGGCAGTTACTGAATGAAACATACTGAGACCGAGCATCAAAGTATCAAATGGGCGTGGTTTGACTTCATTTCATCTCAAGACCACCTGAGACAAGAGTTTGAGGTCTATTCAAGTCAAATCGACATCAGCTGTGTCTTTTTCGACCTCTACATTAGCTTAGGACCACACTAAGAGACGAGATGCCTTATTTCAAGCCCTTTTTACTCTTCTATAACCAAATTGTACCTCATCACTTTATAAAACATTAAACATCATAACTGCATAACCCCTCCAAAACACATGAGAAGATGAAATCATAATGTTGAGGTTAAATGAGAATGCAAGCTTCTTAACTTCTTTTTGACCCTCTTATGAGTGTCAATAACGGAGAAAAAGTTGTAAATGGGATGGAACGGGTGTGAAATTCAATTTAACATAGAATATTGAAAATAAGAAGTTCGTGAGGTTGTCTGAAGGATTTTTGGTTGCATTCTAAAGATTAAGGTATTGGATTTTTCTTTGATGGATTGTACAGGATGAGAAATGAGATACAAAATTGTGAAAAGGTTTTTAAGTGATTGTAAATTTATTGGGATTTTGATAAAGCAGACAGTATTGAAGGTTATAGAACTCTCGCAGACATACCAGTTTAACTTATATCATCAAACACCTCAATATACAGAAAAAAAAATAAATTCTAACCTCAAAAGATCAACTTGTCCAAGAAATTTGATCCCCAGACTCAAAAAGTATAACCAAAGAATTCCTACAAAAACTTCCCATTCTATTCAATAAAAGAGAAAAGAACAAAGTCTTACCATTAAGAACATGAACAGTTGTTGTAAATGAGTGTGTTGGTCCAATTGAGCAAGTATAATTACCTAATAATGAAAGAATAAAAAAGGGAGGAGAAAAGAAGTCAAAATGAGTTTTTTAATCATCATTAACATGAGCATTATTATCAGCAGTTGAACATACCAGAATCGAACTTATTAATTTTGGCTACACTTAATGTTGAATTAGCACCTTCTTCAGTTAAGTCTGTTCGCACACTATATTATGGTAATGATTATGATGATGATAGTAGTTGATAGTATTAAGATGAATGTTTGCACGCGTTGCCACAGCCAAGCATGGCAGCAGACGAATAAGAATGAGGAGATAAAAGAAAATAAGAATTATGAGAGATTTTCCTCGTTTTTTTTTGCTGACATTGTTGAGGTTTTGGAATTTTAAGTGTTAAAGGCAGGGGAAGGAACATGTACAGCTTATGCAAGGTACAAAAGCGTTCTTAAGTTTCAATTTTTTCATTTTTGTTCAATTTTTTATTTTTTTGAAAAAATTTTCATTTTTTTAAATTTTTTTAAAATTCAATTATTTTTTAAAATTTGAATTTTTTTCAAATTCGAATTTTTTTTCAAATTCAAACTTTTTTAAAATTCAAATTTTTTTTAAAACTCAAAGTTTTTTTAAAATTCAAATTTTTTAAATTTGTTTTTTTTTTAAATTTTCTTTGCATTTTTCTTTTTTTAAATTTTTTTTGAAATTTTCAATTTTTTTAAAATAGCTTCTTCATTCGATCTCACCTTATTCCACCTCTAGTCGCATCGTAGTTTAGTACAAGATCATTATGAATCCATAAAACCACAGATGATGTCATTTCGATGTTATGTACGTAACAATATAGCTCAAGTGTCGAATTAACTTCATAATGACGTTCGTAAAGTGGATTTAGGTTTTCATCAGCAATAAACAGCTGCGGAGCTATGAATATATAGAGAGATATAATCATAAATATTCTTATATGCTGCTTATTTATTGTTCAATTAGGGAAAAAAGAATTTGAAAAAAGTTATCATCAGCACAAGTAGAGACAGAGGCATTAATAGCCGAGGTAAGGTAATGCCATTAAGGAACGAACGGATATATCGTGATGGTTTAATTAGTATTTGTAGGATTATTGCTAATTAAAGTTTTCAGTTTCTTTTATTGTCATGCTTGTATGTCGCAGTGAAGCCACGACTGTTTTCTTGCTGGTGTAATTAACAGGAAGCTGTTGTCGTTTGCTGCTTATGCTCCTTTATACCCAGAAGCTATGTAAATATTTTTCTTAAATTCCTTCTTTCTTCTTCTCTCTTTCTTTTCTTTTATATCTTCACATTGCTTTTTCTTGTATTTCTTTTGCATTGTTTTTGATCCTTTCGTGCCTTGGGAATTGAGGTAAAGAAAAGTTTTCAATTTTCACTTCCTCGCTTTTTTTCTGCTAGCTTGAAAACATTTTCTTTGTTTTTTTTTGTTCGTAAAAAATTAAATTGGGAGTGAAAATTAAGAAGATGCTGGAAATGCTGTTGATTTAGGGACGTTTAAAGCGATTCTCAATTGCAACATGGTCAGTTTCTTCCCAATCTAAAGATTTTCTTATCTTTAAGGTCCTTCAACGTTGACCAATGAGAACCGACTGTCTAGAGTCACAAACTCACAATTCAAATGAGCAACTTGTCAATTTTTTTATTTCCTAAAGTAACGAAAAAGCAGAGCTGTATGGCTTCAGAGGTCAAACCCAGCCCAAACCTGCCCTTAAGCTATTGATACAATTTTTTAATTAAATTTCACGTAAATCATTCAATTAAGATTATAAAAATAAAACGAACATTCCAAATCATCCAAATCCTCTCCAGCAATCATCATTCAGCTTTTCATTTTAATCCCCAAAGGGCAGGACAGTCCAACGGAAACAAAAATATCCTTTAATTAAAAATGTTCTCCCTAAAAAAATAACAAAAGTACTCCTAATTTTTTTATGTAGGTCATAAACATTACCAGCGAGTATAACCTTGGTGAGGAAGCATTCATTTGTCTTAATTCAATTAGCAATATAAACCGCGAGCACAGCATAGAGATAAAAGAACGGAAGTGCAGAATATAAACTGCAATAACAGGGGTTTTTTCTTAACACTAAATGCCACATTAACCGTATCCTCGTATTTTGCCTTATGACTTTTTTCGTAATTATTCATGCACTGCTGCATTTTTTTCTCTCTCTTTCCCTTTTTAAGCTTTTGAGAATTAATTTGAAAGGTGAAATGAAATCCAACAAAAGGTTGAGGATGTCTTTTATGGAGGGAAAATATTCAGCATAATAAATGTACTTCTGTGGCTTGCCTTGTTGGATTTTGAGATAAATTTACCAAACATGACATTTATAATATTTACACGAGTATGACGGAGAGTCTCGACTCTTTGTGTTCATCAGCATGTTGGGAAAAAATTGTAATTTATATGTTTTGTACTACACGGGTCGAAACATTTTGAGTTGAAGATGTCTGGAGGGAAATGTGATTGTTAACAAATGAAGAACATGCAACGATTTTTCCTTGGAACTGCTCTAGAATGTCATTTAGAATATGTTTTACATTTTTCATGCTGATGTATGATGTGGAAAAAATGGAATGTGACATTTTTAGGGTCAGAAAAGTTTAAAGTCATATTCAGGAATGCTGGTGTAGTTGCTTGAAGGAGCATAGATTATATTTGAACAAGACAATGCAGCTTTAACCTGAATGGAGCTATAATGTCACGGTTACTTACTTCCTTGCTGTAACCATGTTCCTATGTAGACATTATGTTACTTTCTTTGTATATGTTGAGTTCGGGGATGGTTAGTTGTTAATCCCACCATCCCTAGACGTGGGGCTGCCACCCTACAGGCGAGGTTGTTTGGATAGGCTTTTAATCTAGACTTTAAAGTACTTATTCAAGCACAGGGCTCGGTTGGCAGTGGTGCATTTAGCGATATCGAGGGATAACACGAGAAGGTATGCACTTGACATTTGGTCAGTTTCTGAGTCAGACTTCGACTTTTGCAATCTTTCAAATAAAGTCACGGTATCAAATTTAGTCATTCAAACGGGAAATAGTCAGATCAAATCAAATATCTGAGCTACTAAGGCAAAGCAGTGTCAACACTTGATAATGCATAGCATTTTTATGCTTTAAAACCTTAAACCCTAGCTTGATTTTGTCCAGCATTTTTCGGGCAGAAAATGTCAAAATTTTGAATTTCTTGATTTATACTTTTAAGAATCAATCCCTTCTACTCCCCTCCCTCCCCCCCCCCCCCATCTTGTTAGAAAATATTTTTAAAAATTAATCCTAAAAATGTTTCCGTTGGAACTGTCTTCTGCTCCATCTCAGAATAATTCCATACAATCTCTAGTTAAAGAATGTTAAATCTCCAAAAGCTTCATTTCAAAAATTTAAAAAAATTAAATCAAACACATGACAACAATCTGTTGAAGATCAACCTACTCATATATACTATAAATTTAAATCCAACCTCAATAACCGAATTCATTATGCATATATTCATATCCATCCAGTTTAATTAAAATTCTACAACTATGAAAATTGAAAAATTTGAATAAAATAATCTCTATTAAAAATGTATTTTTACTCCTCTCCAAAACCACATCAAGGCAAACTCAAGAGGCGGATTGATTACTCACATCATATGTTTACAGATAAAGACGTCTGTTGTGTTTAGAAAACTTCCGAATAGAAAATGGCATAACAGAAAGAAAAAGAAATTCGCAGTAATTTGTAAAATGTCTCTTTGATATTAACTCACAATGGAATGAATTTATTGACACAAACATTTCCTTTGTGATAAATCAAAGTTTATTATTATGTCTGATTTCATATGAGTTATATCTTGGGGGAGGGTGGCTATCTGTGAAGTTTTTGAAGGTTATATTGTTAAGAACAGTTGAAATTAGGATTTAAGCGTGCGTAACGGTCTTTCTGTTGGTACCAGATTATTGCCAATGCAGTACTGTCAAATCAAAATGATAGACATGGAATGACGAGTATTACTAGCGATTTATGGAACTGTGAAGGAAGGAGAACAGTATCGAAGCCGACACAATAACGAACTATATCAGTTGTTCCAGAATGCTGATATTATTACAGTTCTCTATGCAAATCGCTTGATATGGGCTAAAGAAAGGAGCACTTAGGCACAAGGGCCCTAGTACTTAGAGTGACTGTTGCAGACTTTATAGATGCCACGAGATCTAGTGAAGACCAAAAAATACCTGGATTGGTAGTGTTGATAGAGTTCTTGATATCCCGAACTGGCAAAAGGTCTCGAAGGATAGAGCTATCTTTAGACGATCTCTGAACGCAGCAATGGGCCCACGTGCGTCTTAGCCAAGTAAGTAAGTAATAATGTGTGTGAAAGGCACAGCCTTTCAGCTGGAGGCACTGCCATTCAATTTAAGTAAGTAAGTACGCAAGACATGAAATGCCTTAAGACATATTTGGGGTACACCTTAAAGGTAGGGCTCCTAAAGCTCTTAACTATCGACTACTGAGTGAATCTATTCACATACTGGAGGTCCTCAATTTAAGTAGGTGTTTTGCTCCAGAAAAATCCTATTTAAATCGAATCTATTCAAATCGAATCTACTCAAATCGAGGACCCATAGTACTCAGTCTTCTATACCATTATGCCTCGCTACTATTTGATCAGATAGCCAGCCTACTTCATTTTCTTTTCTCCATCGTCAGACAAGTCAAGTAGGAGAAGAAAAAGCCATAATGTGCTCCAATAAAAACACAATCATTGAGGATCATTTGAAACATATGCGAAATTTTTATGACTGTCATCAATATTTATTTGATTTGAGATATTATGCTGTAAAGGGGGTGGTTCCTAGATGTTATTACAAAGTCTCAATGTTTTTTCGATATTTATCGATACTTTAACGTGTAATTTTGAATAGGACGTGGGAGAGGATAGGTTTTGATACAAATTACACTTTAAATTCCAAAAAAAAACAAAATTTAATCTCAATTTATCCAACAAACGCCTTAAACCTCCAACAATTCCCATGAACTTCCCAACAAAAGCAATAACCTTCAACTCCAAGCAGAAAAAAAATCAAAACCAATTTAACAAAGTTCAATCTCTTCAATTCATACAATAACATTCCCCACCCCATCATCCGATTCCCTCAATAAAATTTTCGATTACACCGCTTACTTTGTGTTATCATCATAATAATCTCATTCTCCCTCCCTTTTTCCTTTGTGGGCGATATCGATGAAACATTATTGCTTTAAAATTATTTCAATCGCAAAACGAGTGGAATTTTTATGATCAATGTGAATTTTACTGAGATCAAAAGCACATCAGTAATCAATGTATGGCTTAAAAGCGGTGCTTTTAATTCCTTTTATCTCTTCATCTATTTGTGCTGAGATGAACATATGTGAGCAGCTACAGATGTGTATACGAGAGAAACTTACCATTAACATGCAAATAGAATTGAATTACTTTCGGTGGATGTGTTGTAATCTGTTGATTATAAGGAAAAGTGTGTTAGTTGAGCATGCAAGGATTTATTTTGAATTAATTAAAAATATACAATCTCAACTTTAAGTTGACCCACATTCGTAAAATACCAAAAAATTCGACTTAACATTTCTAATCTCTCCATAACCTGTCATAACCATCGACATACCAAAATTGAAAATAATCTGACAAATTTTTCCAATTTTCTCAATAAAAAAGCTCGTACCGCACATTTACACGTCGATAACAAGAGTCATTGACTACGTTATATGAATTTAAGAATTGCTTATGTCTGCATTTGTCAATTCGACATGCATTTACAGGATTTTAAATTGAGCATACCTGACATTCGTAGACACCTTCATCGTAATGCATGCTGACATTTCGTATCGACAATCGAAAATTGTTTGGATGCTGAAAGTCAACAACGTACCGAGAATCTGCGACAAATGTATTTACGCCAACTGTTAGTAATTGCAGTTCTTGAATCTCACGTGTTTCATCATTGGGATCTGGTGTGTAGATTCGACGTACCCACGTTACCTGTAATAAATTTATTTTTTTTTGTTATTATGTTGCATGGAATGGATGTATTAAGCTGTTTTGTGCAATATCAGCATTAATATTTTGATTAAGGGGGAGTGGAAGTTGAGTGTAGCTTGGAGAGTCCAAATTAAGATGAAAATAAATTTTGAGTCCACAATAAGTCGAAACCCCCCTCAAGAAGTAAGAACCCTACTTAAAGCATAAAAACCATGCCTGATAGGTCAACCTTCTTAGACATATTAGACACCAGACCACTCCTTAATATACAAGCACTCCTAGCTGCACCCCTGCCTCTCCCCCTCAATACTTACTGTTTTATCTTGCAATAAATTAATTTTGCAGTCGAAATAAGCTGTCTTTCCTTCTTGTATGGTCACATTGATTAATGATCCAACTGCAATTTCATCGAAATGAGTTCCCAAGCTATTTAATTTCATCGAACAAAAAAGAAAGCAAAAATACACAGCAATTAATTTTTGGGATATAATATGAAGTACAGCAAGGGAGAGAAAAAACTCACCGAAAGTCCGGATAACGTTGCTTTAAATGTGAATCATACACAAGATTCAGCATTGGTGCGTCTGTTTTTTTCCCCATCGATCCATGATGCGGACTTGACATTAACTTTGTCATTAATGTGCCATTACTTGGATAATTATAACTATTATGTTGATGCTGCTGTGGCGGTGGAAATGGATGCGATGTTGTATTATTAAACAGCCGCTTTAATGGAATATCCATTACTTTCGATTTATCATTTTTATTACTATTTGTGATACCAATGTGCTCAACTGGCAGTTTTACTGATGAATTGCCATGTGATGATGATGATATTGATAATGAATCTATTTGGAATGAAAATCGAGAGAACAAAGGAGAAATTGAATTAATCAGAGTGAGATTGTAGAGGAGTTGGTTGTAAATGATGTCAATCTGTTATTTTATTAAGAGTCGTGATTAATAAAATGCACATAAGAACCGCCTTATTAACTTCTATTACCTCCTTACTACTTTCTGGTACCTCAGTACCACATTCTAGTACCTCATTGCTACATTCTAGTACCCGATTGCTACATTCCAATACCTCATTGCTACATTCTAGTACCTCATTACTACATTCTGGTACCTTCTTACTCCATTTCAGTACCTCCTACATATTTTATTCTAGTACTTCCTCACAACATTCTAGTACATCCGTGATACATTCTAGTACATCCTTACTATATTCTGGTTATTCATTACTACCTTCAAATACCTTCTAGTACCTCTTTTTAACCCCTGGTATCTCTTTATTGTCAACTAGTACTTCATTCTTCTAGTACCCCCTTACACGAAAATACAACACAGCTAAACAAGTATAATAAAAGCTAGTCAGGTCAACCCAAACAAAATAATGGACACAATAATCAAACAACTCCATCGATAGACACACACAAAAATTTTCAATGGAACAGACGATGTCATAGTACTCAATTATATCCCCTGGCAATTAATTCAATTGACAATTTAACAAAAAAGCTTCAAAGGCAAAGCAATTAAAATTGAAAGCTTTTGTAAGCTTTTTTGTCAACTCACAAACGATTTATTTTACTGCCATAGAATAGGCAAAATTAAATTGAGGCCTCCAAAGTGCCACAAAATTTTCTTCTTAAACACCTTCTGGATTGAATTGAATTTCATCGATTTTTTTCTCTGTCGGTTACTAAAGTATATGCTGCATATTGTAATGTTTGCATCGTGTGTCCTTAGCAGATCTTTCTCGATGAACAATAAGCCGAATTTATTTTAATGTGGTATGAATCTATAAATAAGGTGGCTTTATTCACGTTGCTATGGCTGTGTCACTTATGGTTTTTCGAGCAATTGAATGGAATATTGAATGGAACTGCTTACTTAAAGCATACATTCAAGGGTAAAGGAGAAAATATTGAACAATAGCTTTAAAAATTTCTGAGAAAAGTTAAAGCGCAAATAGAATTTTTTTCTATCTATAAATTGACTTTGCATGAAAGATGCTTATAATGATTTTCATAGAAGTTCATCATTCTTCATCTCTAAAGATGTGCTTAGAATATGAAAAATGATATAGAAGAAAATTGAAAATATACGAAATGGTCCATATCCATATGAGTAAGTTGTGGAGATTGTTCTTGTTGTTGTGAATTTAGAGCGCATTTTATAATGTGTTTTTTACTTGATTTGATTTGACAGCTAATTGAAATTTGAGGTATAGATAAGTATCGAGCCATATTAGGGCGAATCTGCCAGTGCAGAGGATGTCTTTGGTGGCTAAACAGAGCATAAATCAGTTATATTTTCAAAAGCTAGTGTTCGAATGCCAGCAGATTTAGGTATGCCAAACTTTGCGGTATAACCAAAGCGTGGAAACTCAGAATTAATCCTGAAAAATCCCAAAAATTCAAAAAATTCTTAAGCCAATAAACATAAAATGTGAAGTCCCAAAATTATTCATCAAATGCATCAGGGATTTAAAATGAATTTCACAGTTTCATGTTTATTGGCTCAGGAATTTTATTGGGTTTTTGGATCAATCCTGATTTCCACGCCTTCTCTTAAGAGTCCTGAAACCCACACACACTCAAGTTACAAGCAATGGACAAAGCATGAACAACTCCTCCTCTAACTTGCAATATTCACGAAAAGAATGCTCTTAAAATATGAATATCATTATGAGTAGCATTTTTATATGAAAATTGATGATAAAGAGGTCAGATCCTAAGTGCTACTAAGTACGAAGATAAATATCGATTATGAATTGAATATGCTTATACTCAACATGAGGTAAATGGATACTTTAACTGCATGTGTCAATTTCATTTCTTAAATGTAGATGTGAACTTTTTGGGTGTTTATGGAATGTTATGTAGAGTTTGTAGGGTAGAAAAGGGTTCTTGGAGTTTAGTGAAGACTTATTATGAATTATCCATGTAGAATTTGCAACATTGAATGCGGTAGACACCAAACAAGACCATTGTAGCGTTACTTAGCATCCAGTCCATGTCTAGCGCACAGCAATTGAAAATTCTGAAATCCAATTTTCTCATTTCGTTCACACAACCATAAAAACCACCAACAAATAGGAAAAACCAGTTGAAATGAGAATTTTCTTGGGAAAATCCATTTACTAATTAAATAAATCTTGTCATGACACAAAAAATTACATCAAAAATAATTTAATTACATTTCAGACCTGCTACAAAAATAAAATTAATTTCGTCATTTTAAAGAAAGTAAAAAAATAAACTTTTTGAGTTAATAAAATTCCAGTAATTAATTTTCATGGCTTTTCATATCCAACACCACAATGGAATTTATAATTCAGCTTCCGTCATGAAAATAAATTTTGTTGTGGAGAAGTTTCTGTTGAGCAGAAAATAAAGTTTTGTTGTGTTTCAAGAGAAAGAGCACTTCGGCATTAAGTCAAACATTTATGCTCGTTCCTCATTGTCTTAACCGAGGCAAAAATAAAAATTATATAATTTTCATTTCTAGCATATTTTCTATGGTGTTTATAATTTACATAATAATGGCAAGGATGGAAAATTATTTTGGCACTTCTACATCCAATTATGAACTACAATACGAGTCTGGGTTAGAATATTTGGGTGAATAGACTGTTATGATGCTGTTTATTATGAAAGGGGGAAATGAAAAACTACATAATGCATCTGATAAGAGCTCTTTTGGCTTGTCGTAATGCTTTTTTTGTCATTCAACTTTCCTTTTTTTTGTTGAGCACATAAAAATTCATTTTTGAAAAGGCAAAGGATGAAGAAATTCAATAATTTCATGTGGTCTAGGCGCTTAGATTTCAAAGGTCTTGAGATCTTAAGTCAGCGGCTTATGAACATTAAATCTTCCAATCAAAAATCATCTTGATGTACCCAGCAATGCGTCAGTTTGAACTCCACAACCTTACAACATTTCCCTCACCTTTTCCTGCACTTCTAGACCACACAGCATTAGACAAACTTTTTTTTTATCCAAACCTTTTCCTAAAGTATCTTTCACATAATACCGCTATTCCCATAAGAAGTGCTCTCTGCAAGTGACTTATCATAATAGCAAATGTAGACTAAATAAAGAAAGTTGGGTTTTCAGTTTTCTATTCAAAAAGAAAGTTTATCATGCAATATTACAGATATCCCATATAAGTTCACATCTACACACATTTATTTTGACAAAAGGAAGAGCATAAGCCATTTCATTTTGAATACAAACACAAATTTTATGAATGGCAGTATTAAGGATTTTGAACATGAATGATATTAATGAAACATAAATCTCATTGGATTAAGATTATGGTGTGAATTACCAAATGAACATGTATTTGGACATTACATTCATTTCACACATCATCAAAAAAGAATATTTCTGGTATTAAGGTTGATGAGAATGGAAGTTGGTGATCCTTGTGGAAAAATACGATGAAAAGTTTGATAATTGTAGGATGTAGAAGTTTAATTGCTTTCAGAGATGAATCACTTTTAAGAGTGGGATTTGAGGTAATAATGCTTATGATGAATGGATTAAGGCTGGGTTTGAAGTGATGCTTTGGAATTTAGATGACTTCTTAGATTTAGAGTTCAGGGAAGTTTGGGTTTAACCTTATTGTCGGTGGCAGTCACCAAAGACAGAAGCAATCGATAGAAATAGTATCGCACTAAGTTTTGGCAATAAGTAAAGGATAGTCAGCTGTAGAGCCAGATTAATGCAATATTTAGAAGAGATCATAGATTGCAATCAGAGCTCGAAGTCAATGAAATTTGTGATAACTCGCAGTCGATTCCGTGATACAAAATCGATAGCTCTTGCTTACTTCCTTGGCTGGTGCGCACGTGAATCCATTGCCGCGTTCAGAGATTGTCTAAAGACAGCTCTATCCTTCGAGACTTTCTGCCAGATCGGGATATTAAAGACTCTAGCGAGCGACTTCGAGCTTTGATTGCAATTAATTTGTATGTCCAAAGAAGTCAAGCAAGCAAGCTTTATTAATTGCGTAAATCAAGTTATTGCACATGTCAGTATGACAAACTAGTCTTTAGTTAAGAATCCTTTCAACTTAATCGATCCATGCTCGCAACAACCAGAAAGCTAGGGGGCTGTTCACTTATTACGTAACGCGAAAAAATGACTTTTTAGACCCCCCCCCCCCCTCGTAACAAAATTTGTATGAAAAAAAAATTTCCTTGCTTGAACCGTAACAAAATCTTAGACCCCCTCCCCCCCTAAAAGCGTTACGTAATAAGTGAATGGCCCCTAGTCAATTACCAGAATTTAACACAAATTTTCGAATCATATTTACTGGAAATGAGGCTCACAGCCTTCCTTTGTAGGTTGAAGGCAGAAATGTCATCAGAGGAGTAGTTCGGATCCAACTGTAAACTGTAGGTCTAGGTTTGAGCAGGAGGTCTGGCGAACCCTCTCTCGTTAAACTATCATTAGCCTTGTAAGTAGCAATCTTGACTTTATGAATCCCAGACAAACTTATATTAATATTCAAAATACCAGCAATTCCCACAAAAACTGCTACAAGAATCCCAAAATCACACAACCAACACCCCTATGTTCATATAGAGTATTTAAATAAAAATTTATCATTACCTCCACTACTCGTCCCGTTGACTATCGTCATAGATGATGCTGACAATGATGATGATGCAGAATCGATTGTTGGAAGTGCATTTTTGGTTGTTGCATTAACATGAAAACTAATATCCTTAATATTTTTTACAGAAAGAGCACTTTGTCTATAAAAGTCCTCAATAATTAATCTCTTATCGTTATTATATGTCTCATTTTCACCAAAATATTTACTCTCGAAATGATTATAATCGGCATTAATGTCACTATCGCTTTGTGTTCCAGCACATAATACAAAATTAATGATGATTATGTGAGCATAAAATAATAAATGCAAAAATGTACCAACTGATATAGTCCAGTGCATTGTTTTACGACTTGTTCTAATCTCACTTTATTATCATTCATATAAACTGTACGAGTGGGCACACTTGTATGCTTTAAAGTTCTTCGTCTTCGTCTATCATGATAAAATGTTATTATTGTGCTGTACAGATGAGACGATGTTGCCATTTCATAGATGACTTATCATTTGGATGATATGGACAATATTTTACACAGCTACAACTATCTTTGCTTTCTAATACAAACTTATCCTTATTGCCGAATGATGCTTGACCAATGATCGCCATAAA